CCCCACCCCCGTAATCAACCTCGTTCCCAGGGCCTTTTCCCGCCCCACCCCCAGCTAAGGGAAAAGGCCCTGGGAACGAGGTTGCCGCAATTGGTGTCCATTTGCCGAACAAAGCAAGGTTTGGTCCGAAGTGGAAGATTCGGAGATTCTTTGTGAAACTTCAGTAAACAATTCCAAAATGTTTTTCGGATGAAGTTTAGTTCATTTAAACAGGATAGTTGACTGCTTGAAATCGTCAGTAACTGTTTCATCCATTCTGAATTCCGCTAGCTTTTTAAGTGCATGCCGGCACTACTTACATGGGGTCAGAAATCTATAAAAGAATGTTTTTTTTCATTGAAACGCACACCTTATCGTAATAACGTTATAAAAAGAAAATTAAGAAAAATAAGCCAAGTATTGGATTAATCTAATTTTTCGTTGGACAGGGTGATTAATAAGAGGAAAAAAAAAAAGAACGTTGAATGGAAAAGGTTGTACGTAAACCATTCTTGAATCAACTCAAATCAGTTTTTTGTCACGTGTTTTGGGAGCATTAAGATCACGAGGGTGTGTTTGTTAAGCTTATTAACCTCTATATGAGCTTTTCCTATTTAATATTTGTTTTATGCATCGCAATTAGATGTAAACAATATACAAAGTAATGCATTTATACAGCAATTAAACGAGCAGAGCTGCTGTTTTGATATATCATGCGGTGGTTTAGATAAAAAAAGTAAGACAATGAAAGGAAACGAATGACGCAGACGAAACGCTAATTTATAACAACATCTGAAGACAAACTTAACAACTCAGAAAAACATCATGTTCTAAGGCTAGGGGCAGAAACGAAAATGCAGTTAGCTCTCACACATAACAAACAGATGGAAGATTCCTTTCGTAGATGACAACACAGAAGTTCAAAGAGCGACCGAGAAGACGAATTCGGAAACTCTTTGCGGTGGCATATTCACATTATAAAGTCAGAGGGTCCCCTATACTTTTTAGGTGAGGTGTGATTGGGCGATATTTTTTCTTCGTGAATCGTAGTTTGATTTTTTTTCATTCGTGAATCATGATTAAGATGATATAAGATCTTTTATTACACGACTCGGGCAGTCAGGGGGCCAATAACTAAAATCAAACAATCAAAATGCTCTATTGCCGGTCAATATTTTCTCAGTATTGGACCGGGCATTGTCCCGAATGATCCCGAATGATACCGCACTTGTGTCCCTTTGAACTTCAGTCGTATAATAAATCTCTTATTAACCAAGCTTGCTCGGGACCGTACTGGAAGAATATCGGCCCTCGGTCTTTTTTGTACCGGACCGAGCGCAGCGAGGTCCGTACTGTCAAGACCTCGGGCCGACATTCTCCCAGTACGGCCCTCGGGCTTGGTTAATAAGATATATTTCATGTCCACGTGAACGAATCTTTTTATTTAAACGTGACCCGTAAATCAAGAGCTGATTTTAACGTCTTTCGTGAACCCCTTTGTTTTGCGCGATGAATTTCCGGCTAATGAGCTTAACAAACACCTTCCTATGATATCTTCATGCACGTGCAAAAAAACTGATCACTTAAGTTCATTTAAGATTGATTCACGAGCACTCTTTTCCCCTCTACATTCTTTTTTAAT